TTTCTCTCAAATAAAAAATGACATTGCTTAGTTTGTTACCTAATTGATTAGTAAATATAAAAATGAATCAATTTCAATTCATTCCTTTCTTTCTGATCGCTCAGTAAAACGAAGTGAAATGGGAACAAAGCCGCCTGTCTTTCTGTTAGCGCACAAAGCTTAAAAAGGTTGGCAAATAGAAATTTAAGAAGTTTTCAAATTTTCTTATAACTTTCAAATTGTTTCCGCTGAAATCCTTCACTTTTGACATTTCTCGATCTCAGCACCAAATAGCAATCTTTTCCGGCTTTAACCTGAATGGTCTCAATTAATGATTTAGCAATTCAGAATTCGGTCAAAATTGATCGAAATTACCATTGAGTAAAGATAGGAAATGAATTTTAGAATGACTGAAATGTCATATCCGGAAATACGGATATAACTTTCCACTTTTTTTAGTCCATACAAACTTTCATTATATGTAATTGGCTTTTTACAGCCCTGTAATCCATTAATTGTACACCAATTCAATATTTCTTCTCTTCCTTTTCCTCAAACTTTTCGTAACTTTAATATCGCACTGAATTTGTTTACTCTCTGTTATACGATAATATTATCTCAATGCCTAATTTTTTATGAGAAATCTCCGTTATAATCTAATGAATATCCAAGAAAAACTTCGATAACCGTTCGTTTCAAATGAATTTCAATTAATTTTAATCCTAAAATTCAATAATACCTCTCAATAAAACTGAATTTCAGTTAATCTCAATTCTAAAATTCAGTAAAAATTCAATAAAACCAATATGACTGTCAGAAAAAAAACTTTGTATATGAAAATAAAAATTCATATTTTATTGTTGTTTGTTATTGTTATTTTTACTGTTATTGTTGGTGCTATTGCTATTGTTGTCATTATTATTATTATTATTATTATTATTATTATCGTTGTCATCTTGTCCTCATTTCCTTGAACAACATTGTTTTTTTTTATTGTTTTGTTTATTGAATTTTCAAAAAAAAAAAAGTTTATTGAATTTTCAAAAAAAAAAAGGAGGAAATTGAGGAAGGCATTGTGCTTTGCTTCTTTTTCTTCCTTTCTCCTCCTTATCAGGTAATGGTATCGATTTACATCCTTTTTTTTTTTTGACCAGAAGCGCTCATTTTTTCATTTGTGACACATTTGTTATATGCATGCGACACACAAATCGAATATATCTTAAATTTCCATTCATAATTATTTTGTTCATTTTTTCAAAAATGAAATGAATTATAAATGAGTTTTAGTCTAATTATTTTCACATTTTTCCATTGTGCTCTTATAATTATTTCACTGATTTAAGTTTAATTCGTTGGGAAAATATTATTGTTTTTTTTTTTCTTTCTTGTTCTGATTTTTATTGACAATTATTTGGGAGGAATAAAATTGAGATGAGATGAGAATAAAAAATAAACAAGAATTAAATTTCGCCATTTATTTTTTTGTAATTACTAAATTGTAAATTTCCGAAAATTTTTACTTTAGTATTCTAATTATTCTTAACAAATTTTCAATCGCCAAAGTAGTTGATCTACTGATTAGTTAAAGGTTATTATCAGTGAAATGATCATAATTGATTACATATTTTCTGTGTAAGTGCCAGAAGATGGAAGACTTTCTTATGGTTAACTTCCTTATCATTAATGATTATTGCTTCTTTGCACTAATTCGGAAATTTTGAACATTTCACTTGACCTTTGACTCCCACTGGGTTTGTTATTTTAGCTAAGTTATTGATTATTCATATACTTTGGATTTCTGACAGTTTCACTTATCTCATCGAACTCTTTTTGTTTTCATTCCTTCCTAAGGTTATTTTCTCTTTCCTGAATTATCCCTTCGATATGACTGCGTTCTGTTCAGAATTTTGAAACGTGAAATCTGGCGCGTCGATTGATTCATCGGAATACGGTGGGTAAAGGATACGGTGGTTGTTCCCGTAAAGGGTAAAGTTATGGGAAAGTGTAGTTTTGCTGCGCTATTATATTACATTTACGAGAATTCGCATACTTCTGCATCTTCACTCTTTCCGTTTTCGGGAATGTTGCCGGTATTATATATTAACTGCTCTTTACAGTTATTTAATTCAACACTCTCACTATTCTTCTTTATCATCCAACTAATATTTGTCACAGTTATTGATTAATATTTTGTCACTTATTTGGCAGTCGTTTTTAATTCTCTCTGATAAACCATTTATTGAAACTTACATCAAATTAAAAAAGAGAAGGAAGAGACTTCTATTATTTTATTTGGTTATCAACTGATATACATCATCCATAGAGCGCACTTGTCCATCTGTCAATTGCGACACGTAATCAATCCGTACAAGTCGGATTATCTAATTTGCTTCTATAAATGAGAGTTACTCAATTATTGATTCATTTATTACTTATTGTGAGCCATTTATCACTTCAAATGTAATGTACGCCTATTAGTATGTGTTCAAGAATTCTTAGAAATACTTGAATAATTGAAAGTACTGTGTTAGCTGTTGAATATCTCAACTATTAGCCAACAGGAATCCTCGGGAATTTCCGCTGCATCCAAGTCGTCCTGTTGCACACGTTTTGCCGTACGTCGTAACATTTGTTTGATTTCTGACACGTTTAAATCGTATATTGCATGACAACCTCATAACATAATGACGTGCATTCGTGCACAAGCATTCATGGATTTGTGGGTTGACAGCATGTCATACCTGTCATTAGTGATCAGTGAGGTTGTTGTCACTTGACGCCAACGCCACTGTCTCCTTGCCAGTCAATCCATCTTTCTATATTTTGTCATCATCTGTGCTATTCTTTACAGTCAGGAAGAGAAGAATTGAATTTCCCTGTTTTTTAGATTAAATTTCATCACAGTGATTTGTGCTTGACCGGTTTTCTTTTCTTCTTCCATTTTAATTTCATTATTTCCTCTTCTATCCTATTTTTTCTTTCCTTCTTCTGTTCCTTTCCACTGTACTTTATTCTTCCCTATTTTTTTATCCTATTTTATATGAGAAATCAGATGCTTCCATGAAAAGCTACCGCTGTTATTACTTTCCCTTATTCCACTTTTCCCTCCCTTTCTCCCTTCTCTTCCTTCTTCCCTTCCTTCTTCCGTTCCTCTTCCCTTTCCTTTTTCGTTTATCATTTCCATTTCCCAATTGCTATACCATCCGATGTTTGTCGTTGCCGTTCATTTCAATTTCATTTTATTTCCACTCATCAAATTCCCACTAAATTTATATCGTTCCTTTCATTATCTCTCTTCATTTTATCTTATCAATGAACAATTCTTCTATGCTTATTCTGCAAAAGAAAAGAAACTTTCCTGTTTTTTTATGATATGAAGGAATAATTCTTGGAAATATATATATATGCCTTTAGATGATTGATGATTAAGACTAATTTTATTTGTGAATAAGGAAAAGAGGGCAGAAGATCATTCTTTTAATTGTTTTGGCCGGTAGCAAAAAGTTCAAAGCCGAAATGAATTCTATCCATTTATCCATACAAATGGATAGAATTCTTTTTACAGGTATCATTATGTTAAGCTTAATCTGCTTTTATTTATTTATCTATTTGATATATCTACATAAATTCTTGTTAAACTAAACGTAAGCTCATTCTTCCTTCCACTGAGAGTAAAAAAGTTAATATATTTAGTATTTGCTAAGCAGAAAGTTGCATTACTCGAGTAATCATTAAACAGTAAAAGCAAATCGCTCAGTTAAGGTTTAATCATCCGTAGAATAAAATCAGTTAATTATTAACGATGCTAAAAAAAGAACAATAAATTTTTTAAAAACTTTTTTAGCTTCAATGCATACTTTTCACGATGTTAACCAAAGAGTATTTTTGTAATCTTGAAATATAAAACTTTCTATGTCTTCGATTTTGCTTGATCTGTTCTTTTTACAAATTTTTTCCGGATCCATTTTTTTTTTTTAAAAAAACCTAGTTTTAAAAAGTGGAATTTTAGTTTTGAAATTGGTCAAGAAATAGAAAAATGAGAGTATGAAAGTGAAAACAACTTTTAGCCTACAAAAATCAATATGGTATAGCAGTTCCATCAGGTATTTTCAAGTTTACGGTGATCTTTAATCATTGTAATTACGATTCCATTTACTACGAAAAATGGTTAAATGCTTCCTATGATAACACATTAACATCAATTATATTAAAAGCAACTATTACAGCCATCATTTTCATTATCGTTATCACACTCTTATAATTCGAATTATCAATTAACTTTGTGAGATCTCTCGTCAACACTTCACCCATAATGTACTATCGTTATGGCTACCAATTTACACCATTATCAAACTATTTCACGACAATGTATCAACACCAATAAATCACTAAACAAATACTCTCAATATATTAATATTAAAATAGCATTTTGATCAATACCGAATAAACTATTTGTTGATGTAATTTTCCACTTCGATAATGCGTAATGTAATTCAATTAGTTCTGACTGGAACTTTTTTTTGCTTTAATATGTGATTTTAAAAAGAAGTAATTTAAACTGTAGGAATGGATAATAGGCTTTATAAAAGAGCTGTTAAATATTTGTCCAATATTTAAGAAAAAAATTGTTTTTTTTTTTTTTTTTTTGTTCGAATCATTCATAAAAAATAGACCCCACTATTAGCTTGGAACTCATTTCATGATTAACTATTTGGAAATTAACATATGCCTACATAATTTTGAAATCTTTTTCTCACCCTCATAACTTAACCAATTCTACAAAGTATAGCAAAAAAATAAAAAAAAAAAGTTTAAAAGCATGCCATGATCTTTCAAGAAAACAGAATTGCACTGAAAATGAAATGAATGTAAGATTATTTTTGACAAATTATGAGAAAGCCATAAGCGAATTTGTCGAGATAATGGTGGCAACCGAAGTAGAAAGCAGTAAAATATCTGAAATATAAATTTTGGATGGATATCTCGACGATTGATGCAGGTTTTGGATCTCTGATGAAGCTATGATGAAAACGAAGAGTGGCAGAAGATATGAGCATCTCAAATGGATGGTGAATCCTTAGTTTATTTTAATATTTTAATATTGACAGATAACCAGTTCCAATCTCTGCTTTAGCTCCGTGATAAATTAAAACATATCTATACTTATACGTCATTTTGACTGTTTATTTTCAGATTTCTATCATTGGTGTTGCTGTTTATCTGTTTATCAGCATACTCTCAATATATAACTTGGAATATCAATTAGCAGCACTACTGCCGAAAGTTTGTTAGTGTCGTGAAGTAGGATCTGATTCAAGTAGATTAGAGAGCCGAATAGTTGTTGCTTTGTAGAGAAGACGATGTTTGATCAATTTTTATTTTATTGAGATAAAAATTATCGTTGATTGCAATTGCTAAACAATATCAGAAAGTGTGAGGAATTAGTTTTATTCAGAGAACTTAACCTCAATAAAGATTATAACTCTTATTTAGTAAGCATTAACTCATAACAGTGATTTATAATACCGCAAAGGAGGTCAAAAGAGCTAAACGAAGTGCTATTAACCTTTTCAATTTCTAATACAATTTACAATTAGTAAGGAAGCAACAAACAATAAAAGAGGTCAACTAAATAAAAGGAACTGATAATTGTAAACAATCTAATTAGGGACAAATTCCAATGCATTTTCGTTCCTAACAAACAATGCAGATAAGCTTAGCTTGTATGGGAAATGAGTATTAAATTAATGATTTCAATGAATAATCTTTAGTTCTATGGGTTTAGTATAATTTTATTTTTCTCTATTTTTCTCGGCTTTCTCGACAAGCAATGCCTGAAGACGGAAACGTCTGATGTTGCTAAATCTTCGTGACATGCTCATTTTTTACATGAAAGTTAGATTTTTTCAAATATTATTGTGAACTGGAAAAACACAACCTGTGAGCTTTCAATTGGCTTTCAACTTTATATTTTTTTTTTGTGTTCATATAACAGCAGATTATAGTTTCTTGTGATTCGACTTTCTGTGATTCAACTTTTGTGATTTGAGTTTGACCACGTATGGTGAAATCATTCCATCAGACTCCCAAGCAGTTAAAAAGCAAAATAAAGAAATAATGAAATAAGAAAAAAAGTCAAAAAAGACAAAAGAATAAGAAAAGTAAAACAAATTGGATATTATTTATTACTGTTAATTATAGCAAATACTTTTGAGAATGTTTAGAAAATAATAATATGTTATCCTAGCAGTGATTTTATTTACCTAAAATACAAATTTAGCAAAAAACAAAAAAAAAAAAAAAAAAAAACGAGGAATAGAAAAAAATATTAGCAATATAAATATATTACATTTTCCCAAGTAAGTGATCTGGATTGCTGTCCGTAGTAATGCTGCTGATAGAAATCTGAAAATAAACGACGTAACTGATCTGCATACGGTATTTAAAAAAGAAAAAAAAATTATATACATGAATAAACATCATCACAGCACTCGAGTTCTACCTTTTTCATGGAGCTAAAGCTACGACCGGAACCGGATATTGGGAAATATTAAAATAAACTAAGGATAATGGGTGAAATTTTTGAAGTTGATCAGTTCTGAATTTATCAAAAAAGCATGTTCAAGCATTCATCTATATTTACGTTTATGAAAAAAACCAATTGAAACGGAACCTTTCGATTCTCGTATTACTGTGTAAAGGCCTACTACCGATTATACTTGCAATGGATTTTCAAATTAGTTCGGACTTCAATTGAGGACAAATTGAAGACACTGAACTTCTTGTCTAACTGTCACCATCACTGATACCATCATGACTCATCATCACCTACGACAAATAAAACTTACATGAAATAAACATTTTTTCACAGAATACTGTATCAAAACTTAGTTTTTTTTTTTTTGCTGTATCAATAAAGAATCTTTAATTGTTTCTTTTAAAATGGAAATAATAATCGAATTTGCTACTGCATCGTTTCAATTTTTTCTGTATCGGTTATTAATACTTCTTCTAATCATACTTCACCATCCATTTGAGATGCTCATATCTTCTGCCATTCTAAGTCTTCATCAGAGATCTGAAACCAGTCGAACTTATGGGTGTGGATGACTAAATCTTAATCCTTTATCTTCATCATCAGTTGTCGGGAAGACAGATAAGAATATGTTATTATTCTGAGAGCCAACATTATCATAAAAAGAATTTACATCTTTCAAGAAGCCAATTAAATTTTTAGAGAGAATGGCTAAAAAGACAGTTGAAAGTTTATGTTAATCAAGAAAATCAACTGGGAAATGTTTTAAAATTACATATAAAATAAAAAACTCTTATTTCGTGCATACAAGCAAACAGACAGTTTGAGATATTACGAATAATCATACAAGAATCGTATCAAGTTGTCTATTTTTGGGAACGAGGACACAAACACTAATTGTTTTTATCCAAAAATATATTTGCAACTGCCAACTGCATAATTGCGTTTGATGCAAATATGTTTGAATAAGATTTACAAATCTTATAATGGATAATTTATGATTGTTACATGCTTGCTTGTAACTTTAGCACTCACATTTTGGACTTTAACAGTATTAATTTTTATACATCACAAAAAATTATGTTCACTTTTTTTAAATACATCTCACGAATACATCATTTTATTTGAGTTGAAAGTTCAAATCACATTTAATTTGCTCTAAATTGCATCACACTTCACGTAACTTCTATCAGCTATCACGTAAAAAAAACCTGCCTCATCGACCACTTATGCTAGTAATCCTAAGATCACGTAAACATATATTGATTATGACGTAAATCCATGTACAATTACCACCATTATCATCCTTCTCATTCCGTTAATCCCCACAACAATTTCCATCTGCAATATCTTTCAGTAAACTCTAATTGTACCCATTGTTCTCAGTTTACCCAAATGCATCAATTTTTCTCCTTATCATCTCAATCAAACAATTAATTCTGATCTCTTGTTTTTTTTTTTTTTTTTTTCCACATATCAGAAATCAAAATAGGGCGCGCATAAGATGTATTGCCACTTCAGTAGATTACCATAATTTAGAGAATTATCTCTTTTTTTTTTTTTTTAAATTTTTTTTTTTTTTTTTTTTAAATATGAATGAGAAAATTTGATGAAATCAAATTTTGATAGTTTTTTTTTTTTGCCACTTTTAAATATTATGAATTTACAAACAAAGTTGATTAAATTGCATTATTTAGAATGAAAAGACGTAAAAGTATCCATTAGAAGGCAAATTGATGCTTATTTTAAATATATTGGCATAACTAAAGGTTTTATTCAATATGTATCTTTTAAGATAGTAAAGAATATGTACTGGAAATAGCCAATAAATTATATTTCACCTGTTAATTTGTTAATTTATAATCATTTGCATATTATGGAAATAGGAGGAAGAATAAAGCATAAACAATTATTATCGCTCACTTCAAATTAAGTAATTGGAAATTTCAGCCATTAATTAATTTAAGAAAACGTGTAAAGAATAAGTTGTAATTGCATTTTTGTAATTGCTGTAATAGTTGCAATGTGTATTAGATGAAAATTTATTTCGCATTTCGATTTATACAATACAAGCATTACTTCTACTGCATTATATATTAGTTTACAACCACTGTACATACCAGCAAATGATAATAGCAACAATATTATCTTCTGATAATTACTAAAAAAAGTGATAGGAAAAAAATTATCCACTTTAATTATAATATGAAAAAAAAAAAAAAACTTATTTAATCAAATAAACAAGATCGAAATGTAAAAAATTTACATACTAATAAACAAAAATTCATAACCTAATCAACAATTAGGGTAAAATAGAACAATTAAACATTTGCTATTTTAAATGCCTCATAAAGAAGGCTATAACTACCTGAAAATACATATCTGGATAATCCGAAAGATAATCAGAATTTATTAGAAACAAAAGAAAAAAGATTAGATCAACAGTAGGATATTTATCGAATTAATTTTCTGAATTTAATAAAATGAAAGCAAAAAAAAAAAAATGTGCTTATCATTATTCTTATTACATTTTTCATATCATTGCATTACATATGCGCTAGGTAACATTTAACGCTCCACGTTTATCATCATCTTTGTTTTCACATGAACCAATTGTCTTCACAGGTGAAGGTCAAATGTCGCAAACTACATGAGGCTCGCATGTTGTAAGGAATGAGAATGAAGAGAAGAGGACAAATTGCAAATATCGCACTATTTAGTACTTTTGCTTGCAATTTATTACGAATGATGCATACAGCTTAGATTATTAGCTTGTTGTTATCAACTGTGTATGATGCTGTTCAGATTAGCATCAGTATATGAAGATACGAGATCAGTTAGCATTGTATCAAGTTCTAAGAGGAAAGAAGAAAATAATAAAATGAAATGAAAATAAATTATAAATTTTGAATTATATGAAATTTCAGTTGATAACACTCCAATTTATCAAAAAAATGATAACAAAATTTTTTGAATGTTGAGATCAAAACTGGAAATGATAGGAAGCGATCCATTTATCATCATTATGAATTAACCGTACTGGATGAGCATTACCAAAGCTATTTGATGCAACAACAACAATTTCATCGATATCATTTGCAGCATTACCAAAAATACGTTTACTGGTTGTTACAACAGAACTCAATTCCCATGTTGTTGAAAATTTACGCTTCCAATAAACGTGATACATATCAGCACGTGGTGTTAAATCCCAACGTAATATTAAATCACCATCCGAATTTGGAATAGCTTTTAGGCCAGATACAGTTGCTGGTCGACTATCTGCATTTTCCATTCGACATTGAAAGATGGAAAATGTATATACAGCGCATGCATGTGGAATTGTATCCAATTTATTCATTTGAAAGCCATCACAAAGTGGTAAACAAATTCCAGGAACTTTTTTTCGTAAACAGCATGCACCTTCATCAACACCTACTGTTGTACAAGTAAGAAATTTGCTTATTTCATCTTCACAATGACTATTAATGAATGATTCAGCTCGTAGAGCTGCGTGCTTACCAAATTCAGAACCACAAACAGCAACACATGGTGATCGAATTCCTAAACGTTGACAACATATGTATGGTGGTTCTGGTGGTATTGGTGTTGCTGAGGTTAGCACACGTTGTATCACTCGAATATCAGCACTTGAACTACCAAAATCATTAGTTGCAATACAGCGATAAGTACCAAAATCTGATAACTTTAGGAATTTGATTTGAAGAGCAGAAACATAATGGCGTGGATGTTCATG